AAGCAGCAGGGTTTTTTTTTTTTTAAAGTGTGTTTTCTACTTGAAAGTTTTATATTTTAGCCAGTCTTGCAGACTGAACTCAGAGCCTGGGCACTATTCTGAACTTCTTTGGCATAAGGCTAGCACTCTACCACTTCCAGCTTTTTCTGTGTATCTGGTACTGAGGAATAGAACCTAGGGCTTCATGCATATTAGGCAAGCACTCTACCACTAAGCCACATTCCCAGCCTAAATGTGTGTGGTTTTGTTTTTTTTTTTGCCATTCCTGGGGCTTGAACTCAGGGCTTGGGCACTATCCCTGAGGTCAAGGCTAGCTAGCACTCTACCACTTGAGCCACAACACCAATTCCTGGTTTGTTTTATTTTTGTTGTTTTTTTTTTGAGAAAGAAAACACCATACCCGTGGTTTGGCTTGCACAGTGGAGCAAGCCGCGTACTAGAGCCCTCCTGACCTGTGGTCTCTGTGGGCCCCTTGCACACACAGTCATGTGCTTTGCTGATCCCGTGGGCAGTCCCACCCATAGTCACCACCTGCAGTGTCTTGAGAACAAGGGCCTACTCTCGTGTAAACTCTCTGGCTCCCAGACACCCCACACTCAGATCTCATCTGCTTGTCTAGGGCAGGAACCACCCCAGAATGATCTGTTACCTTTCCTTGTCTTGTCTTAATCATTCTTGAGTCAGGAGTGTTCCTTCAGTTGTTTTTGAAGGGGAATCAGGTCCTGTTTCCAGAACCCCCCCTTAACCCCTCAGCGGGGGCTCTGTACACAGTCTACCCCTCTGTGATGTGCAGTTGCAGGGCCACACATCTGCGCTCACTAGTACTCCTTAGTTTCAGTGTCCAATCTGTCTGATCTCTGCTGGGGTTGCCCACTTAAGTTATTTTTGCTCTCATAATATGTCATTTGAGGGTGACTATGAGACCCAGTGTATATTATCACAGTCTTCACCAAATTGTCATCTAACATCCTCCTGTCATGTTGCCGCAACCACTTTCTGCTAGAATGGTGATGGTACTTAAACAGGAACAGGTGTGTGATGCACAAACTCAGTACTCAGAGGCAGAGCCTCAATGGGGAAGACTCAACTGGGACTACAGTTTGTTGCCTGAGATTTCTCTAACATTGTTTTGAGTATTCTTGTTCTACAGGAGATAACTCCTGTGCTTTTTTCTTTCACAGCCATTCAAAATGTATTCCTAGCCAGGCTATGAGGGCTCAACGCCTGTAATCCTAGCTGCTCAGGAGAGTGAGATCTGAGGATTGCAGTTTGAAGCCAGCTTGGACAAGAAAGTCCGTAAGGGCTGGGGAGGTGGCTCAGTGGTAGAGTGCTTGCCTTGCATGCCTGAGGCCCTGGGTTCGATTCCTCAGCACCACATAAGCAAAAAGAAAAAAGCCGGAAGTGGCACTGTGGCTCAAGTGGTAGAGCACTAGCCTTGAGCTGAAGAGCTGAGGGACAGCGCCCAGGCCCAGAGTTCAGGCCCCATGACCGGACCCAAAAAAAAAAAAGAAAGTCCGTGAGACTTTTATCCCCAATAAACTATTCCGAAAAAGCCTGAAGTGGCGTTGTGGTTTAAGTGGTACAGCACTAGCCTTGAGCAAAAGAGGCTTAGGGACAGTGCCCAGGGCCTGAGTTCAAGTCCCAGGACTGGCAAAAAAAAAATGTATTCTTGTTTTTTTATTTCTTAGGTTACTTGCTCGCTCCTTCCTTCCTTCCTTCCTTCCTTCCTTCCTTCCTTCCTTCCTTCCTCCCTCCCTCCCTTCCTTCCTTCCTTCCGCATTTCTTTTGCTCAGGGCTAGCACTCTACCACTTGAGCCACAGCACCACTTCCAGCTTTTTCTGTTTATGTGGTTCTGAGGACTCAAACCCAGGGCTTCATGCATGCTAGGCAACCACTCTACTACTAAGCCACATTCCCAGCCCCATATAATTGTTTCTTATAAGAGATGATGGCTTTCCTGAATTTATAAGTATCTTGGTGGGTTCTTGATATCGGTCACTTACCAGTATTGTACTTGCATATGATACCCAATTCCAGATGTGGCTTGATAGGTCAGTACAGTGGTTCACTTCCACTGTGATCTAGCTTGGTTTGTAAGAGCACCAGGCTTTGAACAAATAAGTGTGGCCTTAGCTCTGAGTTCTGTCACTCACCAGCTCTGTGGTCTTGAACAAATTTATAATGTCTCAAAATCTCAGTCAATCATAGCACTGCCTGCAGTTGGTGGAGTGCAGGTGAGTGTGATGTGAGACAAAACTTACATCCCAGACGCTCTGTGTAGCTATGACATTTAAGAGGTTTAAAATTATTATATCTAGTTTGTATTTGTGTGGTGTAAGTAGATTATGTGTTATTTTGTATAAAATCAGTCATCTTTTATAACATGAAGTATTTTAACATTAGACAATATTTTTAGAACAAGTGAATTTGAAGCAATTGGATGCTGTTTCTCATGGTGTTTTTGAACCATGTTGGTAATATAAATAGTACATATTTAGGAAATCTTAAAGCTTTTCCTATAGAAATAAAAAGTAAGAGTGTTTATTTGTGTTTTAATTTTTATTATATTTCGCCTTGGAATTACTTAGCATTGAGGAAAAAAATGACCAATGAAAAGGAAAACCATGTTTTCTGATGTTTATTACACATTATGCATAGAATAGGAGAAGGATATTTAAAAATTAGATTTCAGGGTCTGGGAAGATGGCTCAGTGGTAGAGTGCTTGCCTTGCATGCATGAGGCCCTGGATTTGATTCCTCAGAACCACATAAGCAAAAAGAAAAAAGCCGGAAGTGGTGCTGTTGCTCAAGTGGTAGAGCACTAGCCTTGAGCTGAAGAGCTGAGGGACAGCGCCCAGGCCCAGAGTTTAGGCCCCAAAACCAGCAAAAAAAAAAAAAAAATTAGATTGCATAAATGGTGATAGGCTAATAAGAGTAATCTGTCATTTTTAAATAGTACATTTTGTCTAGTCATATAAACTAGAAAAAGTCAGTTTAATTAACATCTCTTTATTTCTGCAGTACAAACCATTATTATCAGTGGGTGTATCATTGCCTGTATATTTGTTTTTTTTATTTTTTTATTTTTATTTTTTTGAGTCCGGTCGTGGGGCCTGAACTCTGGGCCTGGGCGCTGTCCCTCAGCTCTTAAGCTCAAGGCTAGCACTCTACCACTTGAGCCACAGCGCCACTTCCAGCTTTTTTCTTATGTGGTGCTGAGGAATAGAAGCCAGGGCCTCATGCATGCAAGGCAAGTGCTCTACCACTGAGCCACCTTCCCAGCCCTGCCTGTATATTTGTTAATGAGATGAAGCAATAAGGATTTTTCTGTCTTACAAACTTTTAGCCAGGTGCCAGTGGCTCATGCCTGTTAGCCTAACTACTTAGAAGGCTTAAGATCTGAGGTTCCCAGCTTGGGCAGGAAAGTCTTTGGGACTTTTATATCCAGTTAACTGCCAAAAAGCTGGACATGGAGCTGTGATTCAAGTGGTAGAACACTTCTTGAGCAAAAAAGTTCAGGGGCAGACCTAGGCCCCTGAGTCAAGGCCCAGGACACGGACGGACACACAGACACACACAGTTTCATTTTGAAAGTTGAGTTTGGGTAGGGTTAAGAATTATGGAAAGGAAATGTGGGGCTGGGAAGGTGGCTCAGTGGTAGAGCGCTTGCCTTGCATGCATGAGGCCCTGGGTTCAATTCCTCAGCACCACATAAGCAAAAAAGAAAAAATCTAGAAGTGGTGCTGTGGCTCAAGTGGTAGAGTGCTAGCCTTGAGCTGAAGAGCTGAGGGACAGTGCCCAGGCCCAGAGTTCAGGCCCCACGACCGGACCCCCCCCCCAAAAAAAAAGAATTATGAAAATATACCTGGAGGAGATAGAGGGATAACTGACATTACACATAAATTGACTTGTTAAACTCAAGCCCTTTGTGCAGCTATTTGAAGAAAACAGTAAAAACCTAATTATGTAAATGCAATCTTGTTTTCTAGTGAAATGAGATTTTTTTGGTAACAGCGATGGTACTATAGAATCTGGGCAAATGTGCCACAGATCTTTATTTACTGGAAATGTTAGAAATGCAGCTCTTCTTGCTGTCAAAATGGATGTATCTATTTTTTCCCAGGAAGGTAGCTGGAGAAACGCTTCCTTGGGACACTGAAGGCACTTTACCATGTGGAATGCCGCTTTTTTTTGTTGGTGGTGGTGGTGGTGGTTACTTTTTCTATATACATGGATTAAACTTTAAGAAAACAGAAAAAAATACCTAGATTTGCTTAGTTGGATACAGATGATGATAAAAAGTAATCTCCCTTAGCTCTGAGCTGTGACTCACACTACTTAGGAGGCTGAGATCTGAGGATTGTGGTTCTAAACCAGCCTAGGCAGGGAAATCCATGAAACTCTATTTTTTGGGTCCGGTCGTGGGGCCTGAACTCTGGGCCTGGGCGCTGTCCCTCAGCTCTTCAGCTCAAGGCTAGCACTCTACCACTTGAGCCACAGCACCACTTCCAGCTTTTTTTCTTTTTGCTTATGTGGTGCTGGGGAATCGAACCCAAGGCCTCATGCATGTAAGGCAAGCCCTCTACCACTGAGCCACCTTCCCAGCCCATCCATGAGACTCTTATCTCCAGTAAACTACTAAAAAAAAAAGCTGGAGGTAGAGCAGTGACTGAAGTGGTAGAGCACTACTAACCTTGAGCAAAAGAAGCTCAGGGATAGTGCCCAGACCCTGAGTTCAAGCCTCAGGCTCCAGCACACACACAAAAAAGAATGTAATCACTCTATGGTTGTATATAGAAAAACTAGTAGGTTAAAGTAGTATATTGTTACATTTTTACATTGGTGTCACTTACCAAATGGAATGATTTCATTGGTTACCACAGTCCTTTTTTATGTAGCAATACTATTAAAACGACTCCTTTGAACTTTACCTGATTAAAATGTAGTGCCTAATGAATTCTAACTGTCTCAACTCTGTCTCATGTTGAATGTGTTGCAGGAATGAATCTGAAGTCTGCTGCAGTAAAACACTGAAGGCTTTAAAATGTATTCTTGCATAAAACTCAAACTTTAAGTAGCTGCTTATGAGGATAGGGAAGGCAGGAAGCTAATGTCTGTGTCAAGATACAGGACAGCTGTCTGCTCATCAACCTTCACTGTGTGAGTAGAGACTTAAGACTGGAACTCTGTGGAATGGGTGTCAAACTTAAGGTTTTTTAATCTAAAATGCTTGTAGGTGCGCATAAGTCAGCATGATAAGACTTTAAAATAATTCTTTTTACACTAATGTTAGGCATGTAGGATACTGAAAGTGGAGTGGGCTGTAGATTTTCATAAAATATTTTTGTGCAGTAGCACAACTAGTGTTAGTGGCCATACATCTTTCAGACTTGTTCTAGGTATCAGACTGCACATTAATAATGTTACATTGAGGCAAAAGATTATGGTTTTTTGTTTTGTTTTATTTGTTTACAGATTGTTTGAGTTCAGCTTTTTTCAAAATGAGGGTTTTGGCCAACCATAAAAGCTGTGTTTTAGAAAGGTGGCATTTGATATTAATACAGAAATTTGTGCTGGGCACCAGTGGCTCATGCCTGTAATCCTAGCTGTGCAAGAGGCTGAGAGCTGAAAATATTGATTTGAAGTCTGCTCAGGCAGTTAAGCCAGAGAAAATCTTATTTCCAACTAAACAGCACAAAGCTGGCAGGGGAGATATGTCTCAAGTAGTAGAATGCCAGCCTTGAGTGAAAAAGCCAAGTGAAGGCAAGTGAGAACTTGAGGCCCTGGGTTCAAGCCTAGGGCAAGTTAAAAAATGAAAAGAAAAGAAAAGTAAGAAAATTGCTCCTGACAGTGATTTAATAGAAATTATACACTTTAGAATAAAGGAGCTTTCATTTCCTAAATCAGTCGGAGATTTTTAAACTATAGCAGTGTTCATTTAAAAATATTTGATATTCCTATTGTAGAAAAGCAATCCCCCCCCCCTTCACTGAAAGTTATCCCTTCAAGAATTTAATTGGAGGGGCTGGGGGTTTAGCCCAGCGGAAGGGCACCCACCTGGCGCGTGCAAGGCCCTGGGTTCGGTTCTCAGCCCTGGTTTAAAAAAAAAAAGAATTTAATTGGAAAGGCTTTTTAAAATTTTTTTTGTTTTCCTATTCCACCCATCCCCATTTTTTTACCTCATGGATTTTAGAAGCAAACCACTAAATTAAATGTCTTCCTCTCCCCACTTTTGGAAGATGACAAGGAATCACAAACATTGAGCAAAATGAGGAGCTCACAGATAAACAATGACTTAGAACATCTTGTTAACTGTCAGGGAGTCACCGGGTAGCAGGTATATTTATATTTGTGTGGTGTGTGTTACACCTAAGATCTTGAATTGGCTTTCTCTTCCATATTCCATAAACATTGGCTGTGAGAAAATCAAAATAGATTGTCTCTCTGGGTGTCCATAGCTCACATCTGTAATCCTAGCTATACAGGAGGCTGAGAGCTGAGGATCGCCATTCAAAGCCAGCTTGGGCAGGAAAGTCTGTGAGACACATCACTAAACTTCAAAAAAAAAGTATCTTTAGAAGCAGTGAGAAAACATAAAGCATATTGAATGGATACTTGGTGTGTGTGTGTGTGTGTGCGTGTGTGTGTGTGTGCGTGTGTGTGTATGTTTATGTTTATGTAATATGTGCTGGTAGTGGGGCTCTCGCTCAGATTTTTGCTTCCTGCTGCTACTCTACCACTTGAGTCATGCCTCTAGTGCAGCTTTTTTGCTGGTTAAAGCAGCAAAAAGATCTCAGATCTGAGTAGCTGGGAATTACAAGCTGAACGTTGAGATTCTTGTACAAGGAGCGTGAATGTGGAGAGAGGAGGTGAATGTTGGCTGCAGAGAAAGGCGCAAAGATTTTGGTTGGTCTCTTCTCTTTGTGAGCTGGTCAAGAGGCGAGCAACCTTGTGAGTCTGCAGAGCTGATATAGCTCCCAGTCTTCCAGGAGCTCTGGAGAAGAAATACTTTAGTTTCCTATTTTATATCCAGGCCTCTGTAAGAGTCTAGGCAAGTAAATTTGGTAAACTTGTAGCCTTGCAAGCAAACTTGTCAAACTGGTTTAATTCAGTGCTCCTATTGTGTTGACCATGTTTTGATACACTTCCTCCACTCTTCTTTTTTAATTAGTGTCAAAATAAAGAAAATGCAAGGTGAAGGAAGCCTTCAGAACATAGCTAATAGAACTTTGATTTTTAAAAATAAGATTGGACAGAAGGATACACAATAGGAAAATTAGGTAAATTGTTCCTCAATTCCCTTTGATCTAAGATGATTATGTGTTACTCTCCTATAGAGGAAAATTCTAAGCATTAGCCTTTGTGGAATACAAAGCACAGGCAGAGAAAGACATCTGTGGCTCATTCTAGTTAATTACTCAGGAGGCTAGATCTGAGGATCTAGTGTGAAGCCAGCCCCAGCAGAAAAGTCTTGAGGCATTCCATCTCCAGTTAACCAGCAAAATGCTGAACTAGATGTTAACTTAAATGGTGAAGGGCCTGCTGTGAGCAATGAAGTCAAGCATGGGTACTGGCAGAAAAAGAAAGGGAAGGGAAGGAAGGGGAAGGAAGGGAAGGAGGGGTGACCGAGGCAGACAGACATTGCATAGGAGCACCATGTCTGCTTCTTGTTTCCCCTGGACCCACATCTTAGCAGTGGCTGCAAAAGGATCGGGATGGCATTCCTGGTCTGTGTAATGGTGGGAAATGGCTGGGCACGGTGGTGGGGAAGTTGACACGAGGCAGAGCTTCAGCATCCCATTTAGACCTCTGTGTCTCCGTTTTCTCATCTGCAGAATAGACACCGTAATAATTTGCCACCTGATGAGAGTTGTTTTAGGATTGAGTGAAAGACACTTGAAAATGAGTGTAATGAGTATTATTTAACCTCTTTACTTTTTTTTGAGAGGAGGAATACTAAGGCTTTGAAGAGTTGTTTTGGTGGTGCTGGGAATTTGATCTCAGAACCCCACTCATTGCTAGGCAAGTGCTCTTCCACTGAGCTTCTTCCCCAGTCTCAAAGTGATCGATTTTTAAGGCTTTAAGATTAGGAATTTGGAAAGCCCAGGTGCTGGTGGCTCATGTTTGTAATTTTAGCAACTCAGGAGGCTGAGATTTGAGGATTGAGGTTCAAAGACAGTCCAGGCAGGAAAGACCATGAGATTTTATCTCCAATTAATTACCAAAAGGTTGGATGTGGAGATGTGGCTCAAGTGGTAAGAGCACTAACCTTGAGCAGAAGCAGTTCAGGGGACAGCGCCCAGGCCCTGAGTTCAAGCCTCAGAGGATTGACACCAAAAGAAAAAAGACTAGGACTTTGGAAATCATAAACTGAAAGCGGTATTCAGCCAAATCATCTTGAGAAATATCCCCAGCAGAGAACTGAAATCTTTACTCCTCCGTGGCTTCTATTAACCCGTTACACATGAGAACACTCTGCCACTGAGCCCCTTGTCCTAGCCCCTTCTAAGTTTTACTTTGAGATAGACTTACCAGGTTGCCTCAGCCTCCCTAGTAGCTGGAATCACTGGCATGTACTATCTCATCACTTTAAAAAATAAATTGGGGGAATTAGGGAGAATGTTTGCTCAGAACATCTCCATTCTGCTGGTGGTAGGTGCTGCCTGTCTGGCCTAATTGGCCTTGTTAGCTTATAAATGTTTGTGATCATTTGTACATTGACCCATGTTAAATTGGCCTACTCTTGATCTTTATGTTCTGTCTCAGTCAGGGAGATTAGAATAGACTTTCCAAATGTGTTAGCCATTTGGATTTTTTTGTTTAGACGACAACCTTTCAGAGAACTGGCATATAAAAATATAAACCACTGTCCCACTTTAGGCAGAGATTCAGGGCACAGTCTGTCCAGTTTTCCTCCTCCTCCACCCATTTTCCCCTCTGCCTCAGTGATCCTTGAACAAAAGCACATTAAAAAAAACTTCAGTGAAGGACTGCTAGATGGTAAGGATGAATGAAGTCCAGGTGTAAGTTCTTTAAAATTTAATTCTTAAAACTTTGGCTCCTTGTTCGAAACATAGAAAAATGGTGCAAAATAACCGTGTGAAGGCCCTTTTTACTTTGTACAACTTGTTGACTGTTGTATTCTGCTACAAGAGGAAGTGATCTTGTATTATCTGGGTCAAAATTTAAGTGATTTCTCCTGAGTAGTTAACTTGTTTCCTTCTTTAGAATATTCTGCCTCTTAGTCATAGCTGTTGTATTAGCTGTTAGGAGGAATAAAATCAACTGAATAATTTTTAGAATTTACTTTATTGTTACTCTAGAGGTGATACACAGCACAACAGGGTTGCATTTACATATGTCAGGCAATAGGTACCAGGTACATTTCCTTTCCACAGCGTCATCACCCCCAAGTTGCATTGTTCACTTTCATCAATATTCTCAACTGAAGGATTTTTAATTAGCAAACAGGTTCTTCCAGTAGGGGCATTTTGTTTATTGAGAGCGTTTCTGACTTTTTAACAGTTTTTACTGTTTTTCTTTGTGTTGATCCTTTTCATCTACTTTCGTTGTTCCATAGAATGGCATTCTGAAAAGAACTTAAGGTGGTCTTTCATTAATTTCACATTCATTAAGGTGGTATTTCTGAGTTGTTTCCCTTTTCTAGGGTTGAGATGTTCCCCATGGCCTACTGGTTTAGACATGAACGTCTCAGCATGGGTGCTTTTATGATGTGGCCTTAACATTTTTTACCAGCTTTGACTTGAAACACACACTTCTCCCCTCAGCTAGGAGGTTTTATGTCCGCTAAACGTGAGGTTCCTCTGGGAAATGAACTGCAGGCACACATAGAGTGCACACAGGTGTGTACTCTCTGGGGTGGCCGTGAGGTGGGTGAAGGGCCTGCCTGTTGACACAGTGTGCTGTGTGGTGTGTGGCTGTACTTTACCCTCCACGGTGTGAATGCAAATATAAATAAGCCTATGGTGAGGTTTTGTTGGCAGTTATCTAGAATAATTGATGGCTTGTTGTATATGTGTTCAGGAGGAGGATGTTTGAAACCATTTTTTCACACTTGTAATCCAGAAAGTGTATTCACCTTGGTGGAACTGAGGAATTTTCAGATGACCCCTAGCCAAGGAGCACTGTGTGGCTTGGCAAGGAGGCCTTTTGTGTCCAGGGCCTTGGTGCCTGGGGCCAGCTTGATTTATGAGATTTATGACTGTAGCCACCATCACAATTCCTCTGTGAGTAAGCTGTGCGCCTCTGAGCTGTTTGTATGGCGTGCTTTCTCATCCTTGTCCCATTGGGGCCTCAAAGTCCTTTGGAGAAGGAAGCCCCCTCCCTTCCCCATCTTCCTCTCCTGTGAGCAGCCTGGCTCTAACCACTCAGGCCTATGCAGTGGCAAAGTTGGGCAGATTCTGTGTCTGTCTTTGTGCTTTGTACTGGGCCGTATGGCACCCCAAGTTGTCCCAGTGATGTATGATTGTTTCTCTTCTCAATATGTTTGTGTGTTTCTTCAAGGTATTCATTTTTGCCGAAGTAAATTATTTTCTAGAATATCTTGTGAAGCTTTTTGGGATCCCAAATAACTATGCAGTTAAAGTGATACATGTTGTGGCTATGGTGCTTTGTAGCATTTTAGCAATTTGTGGGGTTGATTTGTTTTGGGACTTGAAACTCAGGGCCTGGGTGCTGTCCTTGAGCTGTCCTTTATTGCTACCTCTTGAGCCACAGCTTCCCCTCCTGCTTTTTGGTGGTTAATGGAAGATAAGAGTCCCATGGGCTTTCCTGCCCAGGCTGTCTTTGAACTTCATTCCTCAGATCTCAGCACCCTGAGTAGCTATGGTGACAGGCGTGAGCCACTGGCACTAGGCCACAGTTTGTGATTTTGAGCCTCATTGTTGTGATTTTGGAGATGCCTATGCAGACACATGAAAATCAGACATTAATATTCTGTCCCTTTACCTACCTTAATCCTTTCGTTTTGAGCCTGAGACTGAGCCCAGAGCAGGCCTCTTCATGCTAAATAAGTGGTCGGCACTGAGTTGCCCTCGCAGCTCCCAGCATCCTTGAGAGCAGAACTATGATTCATAAACATCTGTCTTCTGGTGTATAATGCCTGGTGGAGCATTGAGTGCCATGGATCAGTCATGGATCAGTGTACAGCCTCGAACACAGAAATATAGCAAAGTGCACAGCCCTGAACACAGAACTAGCAAATCAGGACTAGCTTACCATCGTGGAATCTTGCTGTGTCTTCCCTGATGATATTTCCAACCAACATAATTTTGCCATTGGTTATTCATCCAACTTTTCTCTTGAGTATCTCTATGTGTTTGGCATTGATCCTAGAATGCCATTGCGGCTTTAGAGGGAAAACTTCCCAATCTTAATCTGCAGTGCTTGCAAATGCAACCCTGAAAAATAACCCTAACTGTGATTGCTGTTCTTTAATGTTACAGTCTCCTCTGTTATTGCTTGCTCACTCTCCACATTTCAAATTGAAGGTGACATTGGCTATGAATTTGTGTAGATATCTACTTCCAGAATGGGAGATTAAGGAGCCATGCACTAGATTCTTCTAGAGCTGTAGATTTCAGTTTGCAGTATGTGGATAGGAAACTAGGTGGAATAAGGCTTTACTCTGGGAGGCTGGTATTCCAGAATAATACAGCAAAGTCTAATCAGTGTCAAGATTTAATAAAATTGGTAATTTTATTATTTTGTTAAGGACTGGCTTTTTTGTTTCTGTTAAGAGTGTAGTGGTATACACACACACATACACACATATACATATGGACTACTTTGACATCCATGCAAAGGCTCTGACTAGTACTTTTTCTTTGACACTCTCATACGAATGTCAACAGAGTCAAAAGGACAAATGAGCATTCCATTATTTTCCTGGACAAGGTCTTCTGCTGTATAACTCAAACTGGTCTCAACTATACTATGTATGTAGTCTATGCTGGCCTTGAACTTACATTCCAATCCTGTCTCAGCCTCCCAAGTGCTGGGATTACAGGTGTGAACCACCATACCCAGCACTTTTTTTATCCTTGAGACAGGACCTCCTGATGTTGCTCAGGCCTGGAGTTCCTGGGCTGGAGTGATCTTCCTGCTTCAGGCTCCCAGTAACGAGATGTACAAGTATGTGCTGCCATGCCTGGCCTGTGTGCTGCTACTGTTGTTGTTAGGAAGATAGTTTTTACCCTGGAACACTGCAAGCAGTCTCAGAAGGCCTCATGCTGTCCAGGAAAATAATGGAATGCTCATTTGTCCTTTTGACTCTGTTGACATTCGTATGAGAGTGTCAAAGATCACACACCCAGAAACACACACCCAGAAACAGCAGGCCCTGCTGCAGACACCCATCCAAAGAGCAAATTCAGTTTTTCCAAAAGGAGCTTCCTGGTTTTTGCCTTGGGATAAGGGTAGACGTTTAGCTACTAGTTGGCAGTATGTTGTCACCATGGCAGATTGGTTTTATTCCTCCATGCAATGAATACTGTATGCTTAGCATTTGCTAAGCATTAAATGGACAATATTGTTGGGCACCAGTGGCTCATGCTTGTAATCCTAGCTGCTCAGCAGGCTGAGATCCAAGGATCATGGTTCAAAGCCAGTCTGATCAGAAAAGGCCATGAGATGACTCATACTTCTTCTAATTAAATACACACACACAAAAGCTGGAAGTGGAGCCCGTGGCTCAAGTGGTAGAGCAAAAAGAAGCTCAGGGATAGTGCCCAGGCCCTGAGTACAAACCCCAGGACCAGTGAGCGCGTGCACACACACTCAAAATCCCTGCTGTAATGGAGGTAAAAGTTAAGAAGGAAGACAGACAAAATAAGTATAGTAAGTTTAGGACAAAGGTATTTAAGAGAAAAATAGCACTGGGAAGGATTATAAAGGAACCAGAGCAGTTTAAAATAGGCAAGGCCTCCTTGACAAGCTCCACTTGAGCAAAGACCAGGGGAGCGCGGGGAGCAGCAGGTGGGAAGGCCGGATGCAGTGCCCCACGAGCACACCTGGCAGTCCATATGAACTGGGACCAGCTACACGAGAGATTCAGCAACAAGGACTCCTGGAGCCGTAGTCAGGAGTGGACCTCCACTCTTTGTGAGGTTGGAAACTATTGGAGGATTTTGAGGAAACAGCCAGGGAGCTTTTAGTTCGATTTTTACTGGTTGCTCTGTTAAACAAAGACTGCTGGCAGCAAGAATAGGAGAGATAGGTATCTCAGAAGTTATAGGTTAGCTACCAGTTGCTGCCCAGCTTGTTTCCTGGAGCTCTGAATTTAAACAACCATCATATTTAAAATGTTTTTAAAATAGGCTTGTTTATCCGTATTTGGGATTGAACTGGAGGACTCCACATTGTGGAGCTCCAGTTCCTAACCAAGTTTTAATTTGATTACAAGTGTTATGACCCAGTCACTGTGTCCCATAGCTCCTGCTGGGAATGTGGACAAGGCGTGCAGTCAGCAGGGCTCCAGTGCTGCAAATACACTTCCAGCTTCACCCATGGAGCTTTTGGCCAGAGGCCTCAGCCTCTCTCCATAGGGGCCTGCTTTTATGCCTGGCTTCTCCAGGCATTGAACCAAGTATGCAGACAAAAGAAACAGTTGGTAACACTTTCTCACTGGTAGTGGGAAAAGGATGGTCTTTTCACTAAGTGGTATGCAATCAAATAGAAATCCCAGTGGGGGAATCTTCTAGTTTATTTCATATAAATAATCAAGTCCTGAGTGTACAATATCCCCATGTACATATTAAAAAAAATTTTTTTTTGGTCCTGGGGCTTGAACTGGGCATTGTCCCTGAGTTCTTTGCTTGAATGCTAGTGCTGTACCGCTTTGAGCCACAGCTCCACTTTCAGTTTTCTGGTGGTTAATTGGACTGGCTTTGAACTACAATCCTCAGATCTCAGCCTCCTGAGCAGCTAGGCACCACTGGCACCTGGCTTCATTTTAACTTTTTGAGGCAGGGTCTTGCTATGTAACTCACGTTGGCCTCAGACTTGGGTTCCTGCTTCAGCCTCCCTAATGCTGGGATTAGAGACATGCACCAACAGTCTTGGCTACTAGGGCTCCTTTTGATAAAATTTATTGATACCAGCCAATGGAGACGTAGGTTCTAGGACTAGCTGGGCAAGTGAGGGTTGTCTTTACTGAGTTACCTTTAGGCTTTCCTAGCCTGGTATTTTGGGGATGATGTGTTAGTTTGTATCTATAATAACCCCATAGATGTTATCCTCATGTTAGTCGACTCCTACCTTTTTGTCTTTCAGCCCAAGCAACAGCAGGAAAGACAAGCTGACCTAGGGAAGTGGGGACTGCTATACAGAGAACTGCAGAGCCTCCTCAGTACAGTAGGAACCCTAACCCAAAGCCCTTATTTTATCAGAGTGAGTAGCATCCTCCCAAGGGCTTTCTGTGAACTCATTTTCTGGTCTGTTTGCTCTGTGAATTGCCCTACATTCTCCCCTCCTCCTTTTTTTTGTCTCTGAAGATGAACTGTATATAACACGGTCAATATAGATACACAGTCTCTTGCTCTCCCCGCACTCCCATGCGTACATAGTTCATACAGATTCCCTTTCCCCCACACCCTTGCCCGCCTACACTCCCCTCTCCCCCCCCCTTCCCCATACTAGTGTCCAAGGAGGACCCAAGTACCCTTAAACATGAGCAATCACTCTATCACCAGGAAATGCCAATCCGAAGCACCTATGTCAGACTGGAAGCCATTTTTTTTGGATTATTTAAAAAAGCAAATAGAGGATGTACTATACATTCTACTTTGCTCAAAAATCTCTTCTGATACAATCAGAGGATTAGCCACTTCTGGTTAATTTTCCAGTGATTTTTTTTTTTTTTCCTTTTTTGGTGCTGGTCCTGGAGCTTGAATTCAGGGCCTGGATGCGGTCGGTCCCTGAGCTTTTTTTGCTCAGTGCTAGCCATCTACCATTTGAGCCACAGCGCACAGCACCACTTCCAGATTTTTCTATGTCGTTTACTGAAGATGCGAGTCTCATGGACATTTCTGCCTGTGCTGGCTTTGAATGAAGATCCTCAGATCTCAGGCTCCTGAGTAGCCTGAGGATTATAGGTATGAGCCACCAGTGCCCAACAGTCTTTCATTTTTAATTTTTTAAGGCTAGGAGGGGCTTTTCTTCTTACCTTTCATACTGTAGTACAAAGTTTAGTTTGTATTTTTCACTCGCTGTGTTATGTCATTTATTTTTCTTTGAAATTAGAGATCTTGAATTAATATTTTATCAGTGTCAGCAAGATTTACCCAGAAGTGAGGGTGGTTTTGAAGAATATAGGCACCACTTACTAGGGCCAAAGCTGGTAGGTTTTTAATTCTGAAAAATGAACCTTATATGTCTTAACTGTCTTTTCCAGAAATGTTCAAGAAAATCCAGAAGTCTTGCAGTGTTTAGGTGATACTCCCCTCTCCTGCCACACTGGGGTGTGAATTCAGAATCTTGCTTGCAGTGCTCACACTCCTCGTCCTCACATTGCAACTGCTTAAAAAAAATTAATATATGCCCCAGTCAAATGTGACTGAGGTGGAGTTAACTGAAGTTGGCCAGGTAGTAGCTGCTCTACATTATGGCTGCTAGCCATGCTCAAGGAAGACTGTCTCAGTTTCTTTCTCTTTTGTTGTTTTACTCAGTCCTGGGGCTTGAACTCAGGGCCTAGGCACTGTCTGTAAGCTTCTTTTGCTTACGGTTAGCACTTTATCACTTGAGCCACAGTGCTACTTCCTGCTTTTTCTGTGGATGTGGTACTAAGGAATCGAACCCAGGGCTTTCATGCAGGTTAGGCAAGCACTGTACTACTGAGCCACATTTCCAGCCCTCTTTTTTTCTTTAATGAATACTGCAGTATAAAACAGTTCCCATTAAATATGTTCACCTGCCTTTTCTTTTCCAACTGAAAATAACCAACAATACATAGAACAATAACGAAATAAATTTTCCAGGGATTTTTTTTTTTAAATACAGAATACGTAATACGTATTAGGCGTTCCAACTATTTGAAGAAAAAATTTAGCCAGAAAACGAGCTGTACCCTCTGAGGCCTTGGCCCAGTGGGGAGGAGATGAAGTGGCCTTGTCCTAGCAGGCGGTACAGACAGCTTCTCTAGGAATACAGAGCGGTTCCTGCCACAGAGCGGATTTCACAGCAGAGTCCAGAAGCGGATGCCATTTGCAGAGCAGGGAGCTGTGTGAGCTAGACTCTTCTAGGAGATTTAGGTGAAAGAAAGCAAAGGGTGGGGTGCTTTCCATTGAGGCAGAGCACAAGCCCTGCCTGCAGGCATTGTTGAGCCTGGGTCTAAGCGCACTCCCTCCCAGGCATCTGAGTGGAAGGCTGTGTGGGAACTTGCCCAGCTGGGATGACACAGGTAGGATTCACACTGGCATCACCTGACGCCACCACCATTCTCCTTCCACACAGCACACTTCAGTGAGAAGTGGGGTAAGTTGTGAGTGCTAGGCTGGGTACTCCTCTTTCACACAGTAATGTGGTAAGACAGATGTTCCAGGCCTGCAGCGACGCAGGGATACAGAGCCCAGAAGCCAAGCCTTCAGATGGGAAGGGATGAAATGAACAATTAAGAATGTGAGATTTTTCAAAGTGAAAACAGTTGCAGCTGGGTAACTGACTTAATTCTATGAAATGAAGCAAAGGGAAATAGGATTAATTGGCAGGGATTTGCCCTTATAATCTGGCCTATATTTGATTCACTCATTGCTGTTTTATTGTAGGAATTTAAGTATTTAATCTCATGGATTTATACTGATAAGAACTTATTAGGCAAAGAAACATTAAAAACAACTAAAGATTCACAACTGAATGAAATTCAAAATCTTTAAATGAAGATAAGTTGTGAATGCTGGAGGAGCCTTGTTTAAGTATGTTAGGGATCTGATGAAAATTGTTCAGCCTTCTCCTTCCTCCCCCCCCCCCCATCCTTTCAGCATCAGCCTAATTGCCCTGCAGGCTTTTTACTGGTCTGGATGCCGGGTAATGGTCTAGATGCTGGCCTAAGTGCTCCATGATTTTACACATTTACATACCATAAACCAGAAGCTTTGTATGGTTTGGTTTATTTGCTTTGGTGGTACTGAGGTTTGAACCCTGCCTTATGCTGGCCAGGCAAGGCATTCTTTGCCCGCCTGTTTTAAGGCTTCCCTTCATGGCTCTGGTAATGGGGCCCACCCCATGTCCAGCTGTCCATAGGGACCTTGTGAACTCACTGTCAGAGGCTGGCCTTGGACCTGCATCCTTGCAGCCTCTCAAATGCCAGCCATGGGCACCTGGCCAGCTTTGGGTCTTTCTGAGTCTCCCATAAAAGGTACATTTTGTGTCCTAAAATGCACAGGTGTGGTTGGTTTCTTTCTTTTCTTTTTAAAGTTAACCATGAAATTCTTTGTGCCTCTTGAGCTCTGAAAACCATTGTTACCCTGTTAGTGTGCTCATGTGCAGGGCAGTGTGGCTTCGGAGAAGTGCTCATATTGTGTGTTTTGAATTTTAATCTGACTGGGATTTTGTTTTGTTTTTTTCCACCAGTCTTGGGCCTTGAACTCAGGACCTGGACACTGTCCTTTAGTTTTTTTTCACTCAAGGCTAACGCTCTACCATTTGAACCACAGCTCCACATCTGGCTTTTTGCTGGTTAATTGGAGACAAGAGTATCACAGACTTTGCTAGCTGGTCTGGCTTTGAGCCACAATCTCCAGATCTCAGCCTCTTGATGAGCTAGAATTAATTATAGGTGTGAGCCACTGGCCACCGGTTAATCTTACTGTTCTAAAGCAAGTATTATTATGAAAAAGTTGATAGCCACATTGTACTTTGATCCATGTCTGTGGAAGTATACTGTGTCTTCTGCCCATCACTTGTCAAGACTATGCAGCTGCACTGGGAAAGTTCATTCTGCTGTTACTGACATTTTAATGCCATTAGTTGATAGTGTGCTGTATTTATTCTCATACCTGCCAATGAGAAGCAGCCCTTAAGAATTTTTTTTCCTAAGCCAGGTGCTGGTGGCTCACACCTGTAATCCTAGCTACTCAGGAGGCTGAGATCTGAGGATCACTGTTCAAAGCCAGCTCAGGCAGGAAAGTCTATGAGACCCTTAAATGAACTACCAGAAAACCAGAAGGGCTCTGAGGCTCAAGTGGTAGAGCACTGGCCTTGAGCTGAAGAGCGCAGGGACAGCGCCCAGGCCCAGAGTTCAAGCCCCATGACCAAGCAAAAAATAAATAAAGATTTTTTTCCAATCAGTGCCCATCTCCACAAAATCAAAGTATACAGGTACTATATATCTATTTATATTGTATGTATACTTCTCTATGTGTGTGTGTTTTGTCGGTTGTAGGGCTTGAATTCAGAGCCTGGGTGCTGTCCCTAAGCTCCTTTTTGCTCAAGGCTAGCGCTTTACCACTTTAAGTCACAGTGCCACTTCCTATAACTGTATTTATGCAAAAGGAGAATAGGGTTTATGTGTGTGTGTTCCTCCTCCCTTCAAGAGTGAATGTTTGCCCCTAAATACTATGCTTGGTTTGTGTGTGTGTGTGCACGTGCGTGTGCGTGCTTGCACTTGTGCATGTACCTACCTTAATGTTATGTCTGTGATGGGTGTTATGTGCATGCATCCCTTTGAAATGCTATGTGTGGGTTGTGTGTGTACATATATATGCACATGTGCACACACACTTAAAAATTAGTGTCTGCTCATTAATACTGTGTCTGGATTGAGAAACTACATTTTGCAGCAATGAGTTCTCAAAAATTTTGCTTTCATGACTTTACATTTCCAAGAACATTTGAAGAGATTTTGGATATAACAAAATGTAGTGGTATTTGTTGATTTGTTATATTACAAGCTAATCTGCGACAAATTAAAATTTAACACTAATTGATTTCAAAGTTTTTTGTGGACACTCCCTCCTGAATTCTTTAGTGATAAGAATGGCATTGTTAATTCATTTTTACAAATCTCTTTGGGGCCTTGTTCAATAGCAAAATTCTCATGATTTCCTCAGGTTTAATATGTACAATGATACAAAGAAAATCTGGCCCCTCTCCAGTTGGAAAAAGAATATTTAAATAACCTTTTCAAATAATGGAGTGGCTGTTCTTTGGTGTTAGGCCAGACCTCGACATGCTGGCTGCCATGGACATTGTAGAGGAGTTGCAGTGAGGAATCTGGACCACATAAAACCTTCGTGTCTTGTCAACATTAAATCAAATGTTTATTCTTCACTTTGAATGGATCTCTTGTTCATGAAGAATTTTGTACCACAGTACAATGGCTACTGGGAAAACACTGGTTCACTGACTCTTATCTGAGGTTTTTCTAAAGCTAATTCAGTATCAACTAAACACATTTCATTATTATTACCACTGAACCCAGTGCTGGTAAGCACATACCTGTATTTCCAGCTACTCCGGAGGCTGAGATCTGAGCACTGGGTGATTAGAAGCCAGCATAGGCAGGAAAGGCCATGAGACATTTATCTCCAGTCAGCCAGCAAAAAGCTGAAAAGTGGCACTGTGGCTCAATTGGTAGAGTGCTAGCCTTGAACCAAAAGAAGCTTAGAGACAGTGCCCAGGCCCTGAGTTTAAGCCCTAGAACGGGGGGAAAAATCATATTTCCCTAGAATGTGTCTTCCATATAGTCTCAGAACATTAGCAAGATGTATGCATGTTCACTGTCAGAGAGCACTCGCTACTTCTGTGTGATGGATGGCTATGACTATAGAGTCGTTTAGGGCCAACGCCTCATTGGGCACGTTGAAAAGGTTCCGTGGCTTCTCCTTGCCTTTCCCACAGCTCCTGCTCTCTGCTGCCCAATGTCAAGCTTGAGAAAGGGTTGGAGCTCCTGCTAACAGTGCTGCCTTTCCCTTCTGAGAGCCCAGACTTTGAAAACCACTGCATTTGAAGAATGCACTGGACAGAAACCCAGCCTCCATCACTTTTGCTTACCAGTTACCTTCGCTTTGTTGGGCATTTACACAAGTTAGTTACAACTAGACAAACATAATTTTTATTTTTTGTCAATCATGGGACTGGGACTCTGGACCTGTGCACTGTCCCTCAGCTTTTCAGCTCAAAGCAAGCATTCTACCACTTGAGCCACAGTGCCACTTCCAGTTTTCTGGTGGTTTATTGGAGAACAATGATCCTCAGATCTCAGCCTCCTGAGCTGAGCCACAGGTGCCCAGCTCAAACATTAATTTAAAAAAGAAGAGCCAGGCATTTGATGGCTCACACCTGTCATCCCAGCACTTAGGAGGCTGAGATCTGAGTATCATTGTTCAAAGCCAGCCTGGGCAGCAAAGTCTGAGACTCATCTCCAATGAACCACCAAAACCAGACACAAGTGGAGCTGTGGCTCAAGTGGTGTAGAGAGCTAACCTTGAGTAACAAAGCACAAGGACAGCACCCAGGCCCAGAGCTCAAGCCCCAGGACCACTCCCCCTCCAAAAAAAAAAGAATGCTGCAACACTGTCTGTCAGGAACAACTCTCCCAATCCAGACAGTAGATGAGCTGTCTGAACCATCCTCTTCATCATGGCTTTTGTTGACAATGCATATTTACATGGCAGCAAGGGATGTGGAGATCTGAGGTTGTTTCCAGTTTGGCGGTGCTGATGGATTCTGAGGTGACTCATGATTCAGTGCGTGTCTGAAGATCTGAGCACTGTCTTCAACAGCTGGGGGACCTTGGTTTGGTTTTTATGTGCACAGTTGTGCATGTGCACCAGACTTGACAGGCTTCAATTCCTGATCATTCTTCTTTGGCTTTTCACGGCCCTGCCCAGTGACAGGATTACGGACTGGTACCACCACTCTTGGCTAGCACATTGCTTTTTAATGGAAATACAAAATCTGCTGCTTCCTTTTCCTATCTAGATAAGTTCTTCGCAATTCTTGGTTCTGAAATTCTTGTGAAGTCCTTTCTGCACCCCCTCTTCCCCCATCCCACAGTGGTCATCTCAATTTAGGTGAAAGAAATGTCTGGTAGCATGAATAGTATCACACAGTAGAAAGCTATGATGCCTACTTGTCATTACTAGAAAGGTTCGAACTAAACTGTACTTTAAAAAAAGTTTTCCTAATGTCAGTCTCCCTACCAGTCCTGTTCTCGAGGACTTCCCTGCATGTTGAGCCAGTCTAGTCCCACCATGTCCAATGGGTTAGAGGTAGAAACTCACAGGTCTCTCTTTCTCTCTTGTCTATCATGCCCTGTGTCTTGGGATGGTTACGTGGAAGTGGGTGAGTTTGTAGGGGGTCTCCTCTTTTTTATAGAAAGCAAGCAGCTTTGGCCTAGCATACAGCGGAAGCCTGGGGTTTAAGTTCCTTGCTGATTGTGTGTATATTTTAGGTGTACAACCGAGGAGCATGGCTCAAGAGACCAATCACAGCCAAGTGCCTATGCTTTGTTCCACTGGCTGCGGATTTTATGGGAACCCTCGCACAAACGGCATGTGCTCAGTGTGCTACAAAGAACATCTTCAAAGACAGAATAGTAGTAATGGTAGAATAAGCCCACCTGGTAAGTAGCACTGTCACAGTGACACTCGGTTCATCTGTCTGTCCCTGCACAGTCCAATGCAGCTAGCCCCGCTCTGCTTCCCATTGTTACTTATATTGCCACAGTCCTGTTAGGAAAGTTTCTCAGTGCACATTGGTGATCATTATCTTGGGGGACCAGAGTGAGTGTCCATCCTCAAAACACTGCAGATCTAACCCCAGTCTGCTGTGCTGCAGAACTCTCACTACTTTATTAAAACACTTGAAGTAAGCAGTGCTGGCCATCTTAGAAAGTAAGGCCAGGGAATGTGGCTGTAAGAGGCCTTGGCTCCCTCATTAGCCCAGTAGCTGTTAAAAGACAGAGTGCCTGGGTTTGTCAAGGATTATAGACAGCCACAGCCAGGCTTATTGGAAACTGACTTCATGATGATGGAGTGTAGTCAGGTGACTCAAGAGTTAGAAAGAAATACTCAAGCTCAGTTCATTGGTTTGTTTGGGTTTTCTGTAGCAGAGGATTTTCCTGGAATGGAGAAGGTCTTTGGTTTTAGCAGTTGCATAAGGAGGATCATGCTGGACTGGAGGTGTGGCCCAGGTGATAGAGTATCTTTCTAGCAAGTGTGATACCCAGAGAACAGGAGGGTTAAGTTCTGCGAAATGAGGAGTCTGAGCCATTTATCTAGCATGGTGCCAGTGTGGGCCAAAACCTGGATAGATTTTTGCAGCCCACAAAGTACAAGCTGATGCTTCATGTTTAAGGTTTTTATGGGGTCTTAATTAGTTCATATTTAACTAAAAAACAAGACCCGTTTTGTCAAGTTATGAATTTTCATAAGGCCCAGATCAGATGAATGTGACTTTCATTATCGTCCATATTTTCTCATGAAGAACAGGAAAGGAAAGTTGAGCATATTTACTCTGAACTTCTATCTGCCTTACTGCTAACTAATCTTGAAGTTTCTCATTTATAAGCCAGTACTGGAAAGTGCCTGTGAATTAAAGGACTTGAGTTTGGTGATATTTAATCCTGAGAAATTGAAGTTCACTCATATATACAACTTATCAGTTTCCTTCTTGGTTAAAATTAGTATGTTTTAGCTGAGTGCCAGTTCATGTCGCTATAGTCCTAGCTACTCAGGAGGCTGAGATTTGAAGATTGAGGTTCAAAGCCAGCCTGGGTAGAAAGGTTGAAGAGACAAGCAAAATACCAGACCAGAGGCTTGGCTGAAATGTTAGAGCACCAGCCATGAGCAAAAAAGCTGAGCAAGGATACCAGGCCCTAAGTTGAAGCTCTGATCCTGGCACATACACAAAAAAGTTCTATAGAGATCAGCAAGGAGAAGGGAAGAAAAAAAAAACTGTTTAAAAAGTTTTAAATATTTTAGGACTTGGCTATAAGCTCAGTGTATAGAGCACAGGCTTTATGTGCTGTAGGCCCCAAGTCTAGCCCCCAACATTAAGAAACAGGTTCTCATCAGCAAACAACATTTTGGTTTTCAGCTAAAAACAGTGGACCATGTCTGTAGTCAAGCGGAGTCTCTGCGTTGTGTTTTGTGGACGGGGTGTGGGCTGCCCTGAGCTCAGCCTGGCTAATGTGGGCTGTGGTTGCATTGCAGCGACTTCTGTCAGTAGTCTGTCTGAATCTTTACCAGTTCAGTGCACGGATGGCAGCGTCCCAGAAGCGCAGTCAGCATTGGACTCCACGTCTTCATCTGTGCAGCCAAGGTAAGGGCCACTCTGGATGGTGATTGGATGAAGAAAGGGCTCTACTTTTCATAGTTCTATTAAGGACACCATGTAAAAACACTGTAGGATTGTGTTAGAAACAGCTTGTGATGTTGAGGTGTCACATAGGAATAAAGACATCAACTCAAAAGGAATTCAGCAAGGCAGAGTTTACCTCTGCAGAAGTGCACGCTATCAGCCAAAAATCCAGCAGGCAAGTGCACAATGCTGGCAGGCCGCTTCCTTTTTATCCCTAACCCAGCAGGCCCGTCCCTCTGCTCCTATTGGCTGCACTCAGGTTCACAGTATGCAAAAAGATTGGGCTTAATTACTAGGATGTAATTAAAGAGCTTCAAACAGGATTTGGTGGGGCAGGGAGAGTGATGTGTGTACTTAATAAAGGCCAAGCCACCTGGCCAAGGCAGGAACCCTTTAGAAAAACAGGTCTCTCAAGATTAACAGATGGAGGAAGCAGATTACTTTGATAGAAAAGATGCTTTTTCTCACAATTAACTGGCCTAAAATTGTATCTTAACTGTTAAAAAAAAAAAAGCTTTTTATTGATTTAATATTGGGGAAGGATGTCTTTTTAAGTCTTTTTAAGATTTTTTTTCCTCCCTTTTTTTGGGTGGAGATGCTGGTCCTGCTGGATTGAACTCAGGGCCTGAGCACAGTCTCTGAGCCTCTTCACTCATGGCTGGCACTGACTGCCACTTGAGTCATACCCCCACTGCCAGCTTTTTGCTGGTTAGTTGGAGATGAAAGTCTCACAGACTTGCCTGCCTAGGCTTACTTTGAACCATGATCCTCAGATCTCAACCTCCTGAGTAGCTAGGATTACAGGCGTGAGCCATCAGCACTTGGCTTTAGATGTCCTTTCACATAGATTTTCATTTCTTCCTTTACTATATTCTAGCCCATGACTGAAGTTTTAAAAATTGTAGTCAGCAAATATTAGCACACAAAATTCTTGTCACAGTTTGTGTAATGCTGTCATATGGTTCAGTACTCATTTGTTTTAACATTGAATCAGAGTTGAGTTACATTCAGAAGTACTTGTTTAAGTGACATTCTTTTATTCTGGTAGAAATCAGTTAAGCACATTGTGTCTCTGCCCTGTGGTCCATGGGGGGGTTGGGGGGGGACACCATGGATAGCTTTGGGTAGGGATTGTCTGGCATGCTGGTGTTACCTTGTTTTCATTTAATGCCTTCGTGGTCTGCCTGAAGGACATGCATTATTGTTTTGGATACCAAAACACAAACGGGTCGTGCAGATTGCTCTCCAGTTTCAAAGCTCTATGATTGTGTTAAACTACAAGCATGTGTCTGTGTATTCTATAAAAATTATATTTACAGCCGGGCGCCAGTGGCTCACGCCTGTAATCCTAGCTACTCAGGAGGCTGAGATCTGAGAATCACGGTTCAAAGCCAGCCCGGGACAGTGCCCAGGCCCAGAGTTCAGGCTCCACAACCGGACCAAAAAAAAACAAAACCAAAACCAACTAAAAGCCAGCCCGGGCAGGAAAGACCGAGACTCCTATCTCCAATAAACCACTAGAAAACCGGAAGTGGCGCTGTAGCTCAAGTGGTAGAGCGCTCGCGTTGAGCTGAAGAGCTGAGGGACAGCGCCCAGGCCCAGAGTTCAAGCCCCATGACCGACAATAAAATAAAATATATATATATATATTTACATCACTTTAGTATTCATGTGTGGAGATGATCTTTTATTTATCTTTTTAAAATTTTGTTTCCTAGTTCTGGGCCTTGAACTCTGGGCCTGGGTGGTGTTCCCAAGCTCCTTTTGCATAAGGCTAGCACTCTGCCATTTGAGCTGCAGCACCATTTCCAGCTTTTTCTGTGGTTAATGGACTTTCTGTAGTCCTAACATAGCAGCCTCTCGAGTAGCTAGGGAGACAGGCATGAGATAATCAAGATATTCCCAGGCAGGTTGGCACATGCCTGTAGTGCTAGCAGTCAGAAGGCTGAGGGCAGGAGGTTGCTTATGCCCCTAAATTTGAGATAAACCTGGACAGTATAGTGATGAGCCTGTCTAAGAACGAGACAAGACTAATTGAAGTTAAAAAATCATTTTTCATTAAAGAAATAAGAAATGCAACTATCTTTGCTTTTTTAGCCCTGTATCAAATCAGTCACTTTTATCAGAGTCTGTTGCATCTTCCCAAGTGGAAAGCTCATCTGTGGACAAAGCAGTACCAGAAACAGAAGATCTGCAAGGTATGTGCGTGCTCATCCCTCTCGTCACACAGGGTCCCTGGGACAGGCGCTCGCCGAGGCACCGTGTGTTTAGCGGATAACTTGGTTTTTATTACGATACTAGATGTTTTACATTTAAGTGACATAGCTAATTTTCCTTATTTCAGGCTCCACAAATGCTCCACAATTTGTAAGATTTTTGAAGTGGATCTACAATGCGAGTCACCTAATTTATTACTATAAACGATTAAACAAATGATCAGTCTTTTAGTTAGGTAGAGATTTTAAGGAAGAGCAGGGATGGAGGGGTATTTTAAGAGCAAAAACAGAAAAGTCAGCTGAGTGACAGGAGTGGGACCGGAGCTCTCGGTTTCACTGTGGTAGGTGGCTGAGTGGGGCGGGCTGCGTTGGATTGGGAGGTTGGCGAAGGGCTTTGGCGAGTGAAGATGTAAGAGTATAGAAATGATAGAACTTCGAGATGGCATGAGTCATTGGTACTAAATAGTAGGCTCTGTGGTGGATGGGCTGATTGGTGTCGGGGCAGGTATTTGGAGGAGCAGGAAGACCTCAGAGCACAAGAGCAGAACGGAGAGCTAGGTGGAGCAGGAGTGAAGTGAGAAGGAAGAAAGCAGGCTGTTAATCTCAGGGGAGTATATTATTTATGATACATAGATCATTGCCATGAGATTTTATATATGAAAAGATCATGAGTGCAGGACTGGTGGTAGAGTGCTTGCCTAGCATGCATGAAGCCCTGGGTTCAATTCCTCAGTACCACATACACAGAAAAAGCCAGAAGTGGTGCTGTGGCTCAAGTGGTAGAACATTAGCCTTGAGCAAAAAGAAGGTCAGGGACAGTGCCCAGGCCCAGAGTTCAAGCCCCAAGACTAGCCAAAAAAAAAAACCCAAAAACATGAGTGCACCAATAATTTTCATTCTCGTCTGACAAAGAAGGAAGATTGTGTGGTGAACTAATAATTGTGATGTGCCTTTATACCAGTCTAGTATACAGAGAATTTTACTGTCCCCCAACCTCCCTTAAGTCCATGAATTCAGAAGGTGGTCCTGGCTTCATCCAAGGTGAAGTTGAGTATTTGAAAAGCCTTTTTTTTTTAATGGATGATTTAATGACTTTTAGAGTATTTGAAAAGCTTAGAGCCTTTTTTTAAAAAAAAATGGATGATTTAATTACTCTTAGGCTAAACCGATATTAACTTGAAATTTCCTAAAGACCTAGCATTTGCAATTTCAATGTAAGTGAGCCTTTGGCAAATCACATGTAAGTGAGCC